CCGAGGAGCCGTGCAGCAGCTCCCCACCCCAGCTCACCTCTGCTACGCCCCCTCCCCGAGCACGCCGTTGCTGCTCCACTTCTCCCGCCTCCCAGGCTTGCAACGCCAATCAGCTGTTTGGCTCCTTTAGCACCTGGATTGTCCGGTGCCCAATGGTGGCCGAAGCATGAAGGGGCATACAAATGTTTAGCATATCTGGCATGTAAATACCTTGCAACACCAGCTACAAAAGTGCCATGCGAACACCTGTTCTCACTTTCGGGTGACATTGTAAATAAGAAGCAGGCAGCAATATCTCCCATCAATGTAAACAAACTTGTTTGTCTTAGCAATTGGCAGAATAAGAAGTAGGACTGAGTGGACTTGTAGGCTCTAAAGTTTTACACTGTTTTGCTTTTGAGTGCAGTTATGTAACCAAAAAAAGAAAAAAAGCTGCATTTGCAAGTTACACTTTCAGGATAAAGAGATTGCACTTCTGTACTTGTAAGAGGTGAATTGAAAAATACTATTTCTTTTGTTTGCCATTTTTACAGTGCATATATTTGTAATAAAAATAATAATATAAAGTGGGCACTGTGCACTTTGTATTCTGTGTTGTAATTGAAATCAATATTGAAAATATAGAAAAACACCCAAAATATTTAATAAATTTCCATTGGTATTCTATTGTTATAAGTGCAATTAATCGTGATTAAGTTTTGGAATCGAGATTAATTTTTTTTAGTGAATTATGTGAGTTAACTGCAATTAATTGACAGCCCTAATTCTTATCATTCAAGCATTGGATTACTATCCATAGAGATTCTATGGTACAGTGTAGTTCATTTAAGATTTTTATTATATTTGTCTCTGTGCTTTCTTTCACACATAGTGCCACTCCCCTACCAGCACGACCTACTTGGTCATTCCTATGTATCTTGTACCCTGTTATTACCATTTTGATTATCATCATTCCACCAAGTGTCTGTGATACCTATTGTATCAATATCCTCATGTAATACCAGGCACTCACGTTCACCCATTTTAGTATTTAGACGTCTAGCATTTGTATTTAAGCACTTATAAAATTTGTCCCTTTTTAGCTGTCTGCCATTATGTGATGTAATTGAATGGGACTCTATCATTTCACTGTTTCTCATCAGATCCTACCTGTACATTAGCATCTTCCATCCTCTCCTCCTTACTAGGATATAGCGAATCCCCATGAATAGATCCTCCCTTAAGGGATGTCTCTGTCCAAACCGTGTGGTCCTCAGCCCCTGTCGGCTTTCCCCAGCTCTGAGGCTATGTCTACACGGCACACCTTAAAACTCCTCTGAAACCTCTTTTTCACAGGTGGTTAAGGTGGAGCCCTTCCTTCCTGTCTAGAACCCATAAACAACCAGACTGGGTGCTTTTCTAACCCATCTGTTCTGGGAAATAGTTCAGGGCAGGTCTGTAGCCTGTGTGATGCAGGGGGTCAGACTGGAGGAGCACAATGGTCCCTGCTGGCCTTGGAATCTCTTAAAATAACATCTGGAGCAGAACAGAGAGCCAGGGTGGGGCTGGGGGGAGGGGCTGGGTCCTAGCAGATCTCGGCTTGGACAAAGCAGCTCCACCCCAGCCCAGGCATCCTTTGTAACCTCACACCCCGGCTCGGCTCGGCTCGCTGTCCGGGGGAGAGTCTCTGGCGCGGGGAATCGCCCCAGGAGCAGGTAGGGGAATTAACCCCTTGGTGTCGGGTTGGGCCTCCCCCTCCGCTCCCCCAGCCCGGCCCCTCCTGGGGGGGTGGGAAGTTTATTCCCGTCCCTGGGGAGAGAAGGAAGGAGACAAAGAGATGGAGGCGGAGGGGGAGGATACCAGGGCCGGGGGGCTCCGGAGCTGGAAAAGTCCAGGGGAAAATCAGCCCAGGGCTGGGTAACAATGTAGCCCCCCCACCCTCCCGCTACCCTCTGCTGTTCATCAGCTGTCGGCTAATTAGAAACCCCCGCCCCCAGACCGCCCTCTCCGCTCAGCCCCACCCGGAGTGACTGCGCGCTGCCGGGCAGCCCCCCAGCCGGTGTCAATCGGCCCTTGTGCCATTGCGGTGGGTGGGTACCAGGCTGGGTGGGCCCCGGGTCTGATCCAGGGGGAATGGGGGAGGGGTAGAGGGCTGGTCCCCGGCCAGGTGGGCCCTGGGGTCTGATCTGATCTGGCTTACAGTTAGGGAGTTTTTCCTGTGGTTTAATCTAAATCTGCTCTGCTGTAGTTTGACCCCGTTGCCTCTTGTCCTGCCCTCTGTGGCGAGAGAGAACAACTTCCATGTGAGCACCCCTGGGTCTGGGCAGTAAAACACTCCCCAGAGCCCCCGGGAAAAGGGCTGGAAATAACCGGTCCCCAGGATCCAAAGAACACCTTGGGGTAAAGCCAGCGTGGCCCCTGGAACTCCAGGGGACAGCCGGGCCCGCAGGCTGGGGAGGCGATTGTGGTTTGTCAGTGCCGGGCTAGCGATAACGGGCATGAACCCTTTGGGCACAGGGCCCTCGTGGGCAGGGCTGGGTGCATTGGATCCAGGAGGGGGCAGCACACAGGTGGGGTGATTCTCTCCAGTGTGGGGCAGCAGGGGCAGAAGGCTGGATGGACGGGGACACACACAAAGGGAAGGATTATTTCTCTCTAGCAGGAGGCAGCACTAACAGACATTCTCTATCTCCCTCGCTTGCATGTTCTGGAAAATACAAGTCACAATCTCCCTTCTGTTCTCGCCCGTTCCCATGTTTTACCAGCAGTTCAGAAGAAAGAGCTAATTCCCACGCTCTCTCCCAGCCCTGTTCCCAGCTGCCTGGCTGAGCCCTGCACCACAATCAACTCTGCTTCCCACCCAGGCCCTGTGCCGGAGAATCGGCAGCTCCCGGACCAGCCCCAGTAGGAAGCCTCCGGTGTATTTCTGCAGGTGAGCAGCTTGCCCAGCTGCGTTGGTAGCATTCAGGGTGTGGAACGAATTACCCCCTGGGATAGATTGGTCGGGACTGGGAAGGTTTTTCCCCCTTCCTCTGTGGCGTGGTTCACCTGGGTGTGGCAAAGCAGCACGTTCCCGCCTGGCGTCTGCACGTGTCCACCTCTTTTTGTGACCCAGCCCCCAGTCAGGTCACAATTTCGTCCCACCCCCTTTTAGTCCCCGTGGCCTTAGGAAAAGATCTTCAGCCCTGAGTCTAGGCCCCAGGGTCCTGGCCCTTCTCCGGTTTCACACCACCTCCCCCGTGGCTGGCAGGGGAACCCATTGTCTGCACTGGACTCCAGTCCGGGGACCCTAAAGCCGGCTACCAGAGTTAGGCCACCAGACCTTTTGCTGCTACCTCCCTGGACTTCCTTCCACCCAGCCACCCTCAGCCCTTCTCCCCACAACCTCGCGAGTCTCCCCCTCCTTTCCAGGCCAGGAATCCCCCAGTAAATCTCCACCAACATGTAACACTCAAACCAGAGCCAACGCCCTCCCTGCGCTCTAATCCCGGCCAGCAACCTCAGAGCCCCTTTGCCATCCCACCTTCCGCGGATTATAATCCTCTCCCCAGCTGGGGTCCATCACCGCGGGGCCCATCCTCCAGGTGTGCCCCTCTGGGCACTGGTCTGTGAAGGGTTGGGTGTTTTAACCCTTCAGGCACTGAGCTTCACGTAATTCTTTGTCTGGGAATTTCCTAGGGTTTTTTTTTTTTCTTTTCATTATTTAAAAATCCCACCAAGCCTGAGGTTGCTCCCGGGCGACATGTCGACTGATCTGAAGGTCGGCAGGATTAACTTCAAACTGTTTTTTAAAATTAAACATTTCAAGGGCTGTTCCCCGGTGCCCCGGCATAGCAGAAAACCACTAGAGCCCCCCGCCAGATACAGCTGGGCTGATAGCTGCTTTGCGTCTCTAGCTGCCGAATCTGGCCCTCAATGTGCAATTGACTCCCTGGTTTAGGGGGATGTGTTGCAGAGCGGAGCTCTGTAGAGTGGATGTAGGGAGCTGTCCCTGAGTCACCCCATCACTTTGTTTTTAAGGGGGGCTCCTGCCTCAGTTTCCCCAGCAGGGCTGCCTCACCGCACAGGGGAGCCTGGATTTCTGAGAGCAGCGACAGATGGGCCAATATTGGCGTTGGCGCTCAGCCTGAAGAAGCCAGCTGGTGCCCAGGTAACCATGGTTACGATTATGCAGAGACACGTCAGACTTACACTGTTGCTATAGCTGCTTTCTAGTGGCTTCCACATCATTGAGCGTGAGAGGGGACTGAGGTGCAGCCGAGAGCTGGTAACCAAGGGGACGTCGGCAGGGGAGAGGACTCAGCCCCTGGGAAGGGAGTGTCGCAGTTCAAGGTAACTGCACTGTCTCCCCCATCCATGGGCCACGTCTCTCTCCCTCCCGGCTACACAGTCCCCTGGCTACCGGTGCTAAGCCCAGACGGCCTCCCCGGCCCAGCGCCCGCGCTCTGCTTCCTCTCCGGAGGCTGCAGCTGGAGGAATTGCCACAGCCCAAAGTGCCCAGCCAGCTGCTTCTGAACAAGCCCTGTGCGGAGGTAACCTGACAACCCATAAAGGACCCCACGGACCCACATGCCTGGGGAAAGCTCCCTGGAGCGCAGCCCCACTCCAGCCTGGGGGGGGGGGATTGAAATTAGGGGGGTGTTTGAATATTCGGGGGGGAGGGAATGAGGGCCGACGAGGGTTGAGACTGTGAGACAAAACTGAAAAATGTTTCACGACCATTTTATTAGATTTAACTCATCTTTTTAAATCATCACACAAATTAAAGTTGGCTACTGAGGCCTACTATGAAGCACGACATCTACATCCTTCTTGGTTTCTTGGTGTAATTTTGCACTCTTTGGTGTCTTCTTGTGTGTCTGTTACTTCCAGGGACGGTTCCAGGGTTTTGGCCGCCCCAAGCAGCCAAAACAAAAACAAAACAAAACAAAACAAAACAAAAAGCCGCGATCACGATCTGCGGCGGCAATTCGGCAGAAGGTCCTTCGCTCCCAGGCGGAGTGAGGGACCGTCTGCCGAATTGCCGCCGAATACCTGGACGTGCCGCCCCTCTCCGGAGCGGCCTCCCCCAGCACCTGCTTGACAAGCTGGTGCCTGGAGCCGGCCCTGGTTACTTCCAGTCCTTCATGATATGCTCGTGATCAGGCAGAAGGCGACGTCTTTCAGAACACAAAATTCTGTTCAATGAGGAAAAAGAACGCTCCACTGTAGCTATGACTGGGAGCAGCAAGAGATGAATTCCTACTTCTTTCATCTCAGGAAACAGAGCACAAAGATTGGGTCGAACCACTAGTGATGATAAAGAAGAAGTTGAAGTTAAGTCTTCATTTGTTTGTCATATGCTAGTCCACTCTGTGTTCAAATTCTCTATTCTGTCCGGAGCACATGGCAGCCCCATTGCTGGTAGTGCCTCACTCCACTCAACTGTCGGTGTTTTATAAACAGGCATCTGTTAAAGCTATGTAGAGGTTGAGTAGAATCTAGAAGTCGCTGTTGTAGATTTTTAAGAACCAAGTCTGTACTTTTTCAGCTGGCTTAACAAACACTTCTTGTCCTCTTCACTTAAGAAGTCAATATAAGTACCTTCATTAGTCAACTTCTGGATGAAGTCTTTGCTTCTCCCAGTACTTTTTCAATGGATCGCTCTCGGATTGATCCAAGGGTAGACAAAGATCTAACTTAGAGAATTTTTTCACTTCAGGGTCCCAGAAGCAAAGGCAAGGTTTTCATCTCGAGGCCAAAAGACCAAAAACATCAAGACAATTGATCACGGCCTTGGATAGACCAAGAGATTACTGACACTTGATCTTAGCTCATAGAGAGCCGTACTACTGTTGTAGCAGATGCCTGGATGACATTGTTTAATGACCCAAGTGGTTTCAACAGTAGACATGCAGAAGAGAGAACGGTGATAGTCTTCTCTGAACTTAGTAACAAAAGTAGTCCACCAGCCTCACTACTTAGATCTGTCCTATCTTGGTGGATACTTTCCAAAGCCAGTAATAACTGTTGCTGTAATTTTAAGACAACAGCCAAGAATCGCTCACGAGAAAGCCGGCAGGTTCTCCCAGGTTGGACTAATTTGAACTTCAATCCCAGTGTATCTTCTATTTGTTTCCAAGATGTTCAGTCCTTTTGGACTCTTGCTGAAAAAAAGAGTATAAAAAAGCCATTAAATTCATGGCTTTTTAATGTCTTTTGAAGATTCTGCAGCTCGTACTAGCGCTAGTTGGAGTAGATGGCCTGAGCAGTGTGTATAGGAGAGATTAGGGTTACACTTTTCTCTGAGCAAAGCTTTGACTCCACTATGTCTTCCAGAGACGTTTGTAGCTCCATCAAATGCAAAAGCAGCCGTCTGTTTGGGGTCCAATTGACAAGCATTTAACTCTTCTAAGATGTCACAGATGCAGCTGATGTGTCTTCTAATACCTGAACATCTAGAATGCATCTACCGGCCTACCATGGACAACAAGATAACATATGCAATGACTTAATACTTGATGCCTATTTGCATTGGTGCATTCATCAGCCATGTGTGTGTTATGCTTATAAATCTTACTACTACATATGCACATATTTTGAATATGGTGAGAGAGTTCTTCACTTTTTCAACTGCTGAGTCTTTCACTGTTGCACCGCATGCGTTTAGAGAGTCAGCGGAGTTTTTTCAGAAAGATAGCGAGCATTTGCCAGTCTTGTTCGAAACCAGTGTCAAACTTCAGGATTAACAAATGACAATGCACTTAACATTGGCCTCCAGTTTGTAGTGTGTGGCATCTCTTGCTTAAAGAGAAAGTATGATGCAACAGCCATGTTGGTTCACATAAACTGAGTTACCTTTAAGACTAACAGAAGTATTGGGAGCATAAGCTTTCGTGGGTAAGAACCTCACTTCTTCAGATGCAAGTCACTTGAAGAAGTGAGGTTCTTACCCA